AGTTATACATAAAGCTAAAGAATCAAGCTAGTTATAATTTCTAAAAATTTAGGTTACTTATTAAACTTTTTCCCTGTGAAACCGGGCTTTGGCCATGTTCTTCAGGCTTGGCAGAAATATTGTCCTTAGTTACCACATTTTGTTTTCAACCTCCACAACACCTTTAAATTGAAAACTCTGTAGCTGGTAAGCTGTTGCCACAAGACTGCTGCATAACAAGCAAGTACAAATCTCAGTGGCATACAGTAGTAAGCAGTAAGCATTTATTTCTCATTCGTAAGTTTACAGGTTAGCTAGGGAAGCTCTGCTTCATGGTGTAAGTTTACTGGAGCAGTTCTGCTCTGTGTATCTATTATGTTTCTCTGTGGACTAGCCAGGACATGTTCTTCTCTTTTCTCCCCCTTTCCTGCTACTTGTCTTGTGTTTCTCCTTTTTGAAGAGCCTTGACTTTAATAGACATTTCCAATCACTGAGAGAACTGCTTTTACTTTTGCTTTCTTCAGCAAATCAGTTATTGAACATGTTTAGGTTCTTTTCACTTAGTTGTTTTACTCACTAATTGTGTTCAGAGTCTTTTTCCTAAAAGGTGCTGAGATGTGTTCTACTCAAAGCACTTACTGATAAAGATCAAAGGCCACAGACTTCAGTATGGATTACACCTCAACATAAAGAAAACAAAAATCTTCACAACTGGACCGTAAGCAACATTATGATAAATGGAGAAAAGATTAAAGTTGTCAAGGATGTCATTTTACTTGGGTCCGCCATCAACACCCATGGAAGCAGAAGTAAAAAAAATCAAAAGACACATTGCGTTGGACCAAATCTGCTGCAAAAGACCTCTTTGAAGTGTTGAAAAGCAAAGATGTCATTCTGAGGACCAAAGTGCGCCTGACCCAAGCCATGGTGTTTTCAGTCGCCTCATACACCTGCAAAAGCTGCACAATGAATAAGGAAGACCGAAGAAAAATGGACTCCCTTGAGTTGTGATGTTTGCAAAGAATATTGAATATACCA